TTTAAACACACGCCATTTTTAAAAACACACACGTCGTTTTTAACACACACGTCATTTTAAAAACACACGCGTCATTTTTTTAACACACACGTCGTTTTTAACACACACGTCATTTTTAAAAACACACACGTCATTTTTAAACACACACGTCATTTTTAAACACACACGTCATTTTTAAACACACGCCATTTTTTAAAAACACACACGTCATTTTTTTAACACGCACGTCGTTTTTAAACACACGCCATTTTTAAAATCACACACATCGTTTTCAAACACACGCATCGTTTTTACACACACGTTATGTTTTTAAACACACACGTCATTTTTAAACACACACCATTTTTAAAAACACACACGTCACTTTTAAAACACACGTTTTTTAAAACATCCACGCCATTTAATATACACACATGATTTTTTTAAAGCACATACCATTAAAACGCACAGTCACGCCGTTTTTTTTTAAATGCACACATCATTTTAAAACACACGCCACGGCCTCCAATACGTACGTAATTTTGAATTATTAGTACGTTTTCTTCTAGTATACACAAAATAATAAATTTACATTCCGCGCCTCGTATAGGAAAGCCCAGGAAGGATTAATTTAATCAGATTGCCCTCTCCAAAAAACTAACGTGCACTGGACTGCACAATACAGGCATTGTTTGCGAAGATTGTCATCGGTGGTGGCGTTCAGTCAAATTGATCACGTGCTAAGTGCCACAAATGGAACGGCACAGTCTGCCTCGGGCGAATATTATCATGCAGTTTGCGCCATTGGACTATTCCGCTTTGGCCAGTCTAAACATTCCTCCCATTTGGCAATTTGGTTGTTGATGCCCGCGGAAAATTTTGCATTTTGCCCTTACTCGCTCAATCTAAAAATGGAACTTGCCTGCCCTCTTTTTAATGCCCTCCCCCTGAAGATGTTTTATTTTGCCTGCCCGCTAAAAATCCTTTGCGAACACATTTGTTTCACGAACAGCTCCGTTGACTGCAACTGTATACATTTATTTTGTGGTCTTCTTTGTAAGAACAGAATAGATCACATCTGTATCATCTTGAAGGTAACTTCCATGGTGTCATGTATATAGTATCGTACGATCAGGATTAATAGCCAGCATCTGCATATTTGAGAATTGTTGTCGCTCTTCATACTAGATTTTAGTCTAGTTTAAGAGAGGAGGTGGAGCGCTCGGAGAAACTTGTTTGTATATTATATTTTGATAAATGTTCAATTCATGTTGGTCGGTAGCTGAACGCAACGCATAAATGACAAGGTCAATGTATATGGAAATAAGTTGTGTACAACATTGGTGACATGTTGGCATTCCACTTCATTTCACTGATTACGGTAATGCCATGGAAACATACCTATGTAACCGCCTTTAGTTATTGTATATGTATGTCTGCGATGCTACAGGTCCCCCGTAGACAACAATGCAGAAATTATTTTTCGCATAGAACCAATGTGTCAAGTTTTTTTTGAAAAGCAAATAGTAAACTGTATCATCACAAATGTTCACATCACAAATCTCCCCTAAAATGAAGTTGACAGTATAAGAAAAGTTGCCCTAGCAGTCTGCTTACTCTAAATGTATCTCAGATGACAACACTGTTATTTCTAGGATTATAACTATTATTATGACTCAGAACTATATATGACGATAACACATTTGGAGCAGGATGTTCTCGCTGTTTTCAAAACACCTCTCATCACTGGAGGGCGCCAGCTTACGCTCAAAGATCACATCCTATACTGATACAGGCCCTCACACTGTCGTGTCTACACTAAAGGATGTACGTATCAAACTCAAGTTACAAGACTAGAGGGCGCTATACCACAATCAAATCAACCCAGTATTTTATACATGGGTATGAAACTAAAAAAAAAATCTACAAACAACATATGTTGACCAGTCCCTACCACAGATGGTACACTAACAATACAAATTTACTTCACTATAGCAAAGACGACTCATAAGTTATGAAGACTTCCAAATTGACATCAACAAAATGTTGGACGTACTCGCTTTGTAAGCCCCATTATCATAAGCAGTATTTATTAATTTGCGCCGCTGGTTGGAACATGACTTGGACCAAATTACTGTTTTATAGAACCGTCTTACCCATGTCACTTGCGGGGAGACCCAGCCCACTTAAGTTACCAAAATGTCGGAAAACTCAAGAACGTTATGGGTTAGAATAAAATAAAGTTAGCGATTGGTGAAAAGAGTTAAAAATATATCTCCCATGATCTTGAAATTTTTATTTTCACAAGGTAAGAAATGGATATTTGACCAATACAGCGATTACAAAGCCACCAGTTTCATCGAGACTGCTAGAGTTGTTTAGTTTGGCAATGGAAAATCAGAAAATATATATAATGTAGTACTGATTTAATTATTTGAGTTTTCAACTAACATATTTTACGATACAATTCGAATTTGTAAATACGTTGTGTGCCGGTGTTATTACAGTGCGCACATTCCATGGTGAAGTTATCATTGACGTTTGTTTCAATGCATTGCCATATCTAGGGTGCCGGCTGCTGATGGCTTGCATTGCCGTCAATACCTAATTGAGACCCCCCCCCCTCAACATCGTTCCGCCACCGTGCCCTCAGCTTCAAATACCATAACATGTATTTATAAAGTGTCGTTAATATCGTCTAGTTAAACCGAGCTCAAAAAATGATGGGAGCACGTCGAAGTCATCAGACGTGTTCCTTGTTTAACTACTAATACTTTGACGATCAAATGACCAGGTCTAGCCTGAAAAAATCACATTCACATCTATGCCAATCTAATCGACTGTAATATTGAATTCGGAGCAAAAGTCTTTGTTATATGGATCGTAATTGGTTTATATATTTCTGCTGGAGAGCAAATGTACACGCGGCATCTTCTGTATTTCGTGTGAACCATTGCTAATCATCATTAATAATTAATTATTCGAAATTGTCAGTTCGGTGCCAAAACAGAAGAAATGTCATTTATTGTCGTGTATCGAGTAGTGAAAATAACTTGACTGGAAATCAACGGTCCATGTTGATATTACATAGCTGGTTCGTTTTAAAACTAGGCTGATGGCGGAAGAAATAATATAATATTGACATTTTGTTCGTTTGTTTATTATGGAAAACCTGGTGAAAGTTAGTTCATGCGAACTAAATCTGAACAAGATCTTAATGCAAATAATAATGTGATTGGAAATTAAAATCAATGACGTCAACAAATCAGTGTTTTTATCCCGATACAAAGGTAATCTTGTTCATGATCCATATTTTCTTTCTCGTTTGACTTTTGTGAATGTTGATGTCAGACGTCTGGTTATAGGAACAATGTCTTGTATGTATAGCGATGTTGCTGTGGGGTTGAATTTTCGTTCTGTCATCAGAGATAATGACCATGATGAATCGGATGACCCAATAAAGACCTCAGCCCCTGCAATTGCGAATATGGGAATTATAATGATATTAGTAACAATAACTGTGTCTGTAGCAGAGAACAATCTGTGTAGCTGCACGATAATAACAATTCATGTCAAACATTTGTTTGCATAATTAGCTGATAATTAGGCTAAACTTTGTACGTACTAGTGCATAGTTCTTGTTCAAGAAGCGATAATTTGAACATATCTTGCAAAAGATCCTTTCTTCCCGCCACCATGTCCAGTGATATCTTCGAAGCATCGAATACATTCTCTGGGTGAATTACTTTCGAGAACTCCTCGACTATTGTCTGCAAAGAATACATTGAAATAATTACAAAGCGCAGTATTATGGTAGACAACAGCATGCCATTGAATCTAGGTATCAAATTGTTACGTCAAATATGTACCAATGAGACATTTCCAATCCATGTGTCAAACAGACCATTATTAATTCAGCGTTATACTCTCATTCGATACCTATATGCAATTTTACATTCCATTTGTCTTCCACCGTTTCCTTATTGCCACTGAATTATTTTATGGATGGGCATACCACATGTTATTGATTCACTCAAATGTCTTTTAAATCAGTTCACTGTGTAAACACCTGTCCATTCTAAATATTCGAATGGAATTATGAAAGCAACATTACACAGCAAGGTGTGACATGATATTTCATTCTGGGTTCAACAATTCTGCATAGTAAGGGGTGAAATATTACCCCACGTGTATACTAGATACAATTTCTAATGAACACAAATAATGGAAATATGAATGAATATACCTTTGAAAATGGAGGGTGTGCGATAAAGATACAGCTTAGATTATATTTCTTCATCTCAGATGTTATATTCTGAACAATGACGGAAAATGTCATTCGTAGTTCAGATGACTTATCACAGAATATATTGCGTATAGCACATCTGTATAGAAGAATCGGTTCATAGTATGGGAGAAATGCTTTTCAGTTAGGGAAATCATCAAATGGACTGAGGTGTAAGTGTGATTGTTTGATTGCTTGAAATATTTCTTCAGATTATAAATGTATATATATATATAATAATCATGAAAACTCAAACTTGCTATCATTTCTCATTTTTAATATTTATCACATTTAAATCGTATTTCATGAAAACAGTGCTGATCGAATACCACACACAGATGTTGAATTTCTTTTAAACAAAACAAACATGAAAAACACGAGCCAGGATCTCACTCTTACGACATGTTGCCCGTAGTGGAATGATTAGCTTATACGATATCTATATTTTTACTAACAATTATCATGTTCTACTCACTGTTCAGTAGTCTTGTCTCTCCAATGCAGCGCTAAATACGGCTGGTTACCGCAAATATGCGACTTTATATCGTCCGCTGCTTTTCTAATATAGCTCGCTCTCTTTAAATGGTTTTCTATAGTTAGTTGGCGAAGCATGTAGTAAGAATCATGCCCTGGTTTATTAGGCAGTACGTCTAACAAACAAAGACATGGAACAGAAGAAAACAACACAGTACTAAGTGTTTCTCTGCTTCCACCTAACGAGACAGGAAGCGACAAGTTAAATACACCGGTGTATGCATCAATAGTTTCTGCCATCATCTTGTTGGCTTTACGACTGTAATGTACCATGCTTAAACTCCTGCCACAGATGTCCACAAACTGTTGAAATGGAATTACGGGTATCAACTGACGAAGTAGTTGTGCGTCAAAGGTCTCACTGAAGTAGTGCATTTCTTCTTTTGTGATTGTTCTAATGTTCATACCCATGTTGAAAAACGGCGTGAGGACAATGGTGCGATTAGTCGCCATGGCTACTCCAACCGAGTTTCGAAATGCTTGAAATTGCACGTTATTGCCACCTCCACCTCTGTCTGCAATAATCGGCAGTAGATACCTGACTTCTACAGGTCTCTTAGCGGCATACGAACCATTAAACCTGTTGACTGCTGGCAGCTTCACCACATGGTGTTTTGATGAATTCACAATCTGCATTAATACAGTTTAAGTTGTTAATTACAAAACAGTATTAAAATTAACGTGAAAGTATCTGAAGGTCGTATGTGTTCAATATAACTTCAACTAAAGACACGCAAAAAGATACAAGATCAGGACTGAATCAGGGTCAGGATAATTCGAAAAAAAAACAAAACTTATTCTGCCATAAACAAGGCATAGAAATACAATATACCAAAGGTCTGCAGCAGTCTTGAAATATGGTAATAAACTCATATTACACGAAAACATCATTCCACTGCACAAATTACAAAATTGTTTGGTCGTGGGAGGGACAATATTTAGTAGAACAGTTCCCAGCTCTGCTACAATTAAGTCAGCTTCGTTTAATGCACATGCAGATTTACTCTCACCTGTTTGTTATGCCATATATTATTGTTGTTGTTACCAGATTCTGTGAAAGAGAACATAGAAGGGCGATGATGTATATATTTTAGCTAGACATAATTTTATAGTATCTACTTGTTTTCAGAAAACAATAATTTAGATATCCATTTCAAGGGAACAGATACAATGGATGAAATGTATTACACGTGGATTTCCATGGAAATATATTATATTAATGCTGCTGACTTTTATGAGAGTTCGAGGAATTATGTTCATCAATATGTCGCAAGGCATCTATGTATATATTATTTAAATTAACGACGGACGAGAAATAAATGACAAATATTTAATGACTACGGCAAGTCATGGGGTGTACACAAGACTTGTCATCCTTTCAATAGTGTTCTCTTCCCCTCCAATCACAGCATGCCTAATGACATCACCTCGTACGAACACACCTGTTAATGTTACTATATTAAGCTATAACAATAACAATGTTTAATTTGAACAGTGTTCCACATTCTAGGGCAAGAGTCTAGATACTCACAGTTAACTTGATTAAATTGTTATAAAGTAGTATAATTTTATGATTTGTTATGGTTAAACTCACCAGATATATTAGAATGTAATTTGATATTCCGCATATCTTCTACCCTACAGAAACAGTGAATAACCGTTGTTAGTACCTGCAGTGTATATTGAGTGGAATATACAGAGTAATTCGAAAGTATACGTTTATTCCTGTAAACCCACACTTTCTAGTGGGGTTTCTAATATTAATTATATATATCTCCACAAAAACAAGTGTAACTATCTAACCCGCATTCACATGAAAATCGTCGGAATCACAGATTAGTTTTTCTATTTTCAACAGCTTGTGTGTGGTTCGAATTTTTTTTAAATGTTAATTTTAAGAGCACATCATTTCTGGATTGATGGTAATGTATATACATACATTACGTTACCTTCCAATTTCAATTTGAATATAACATTTCTTAAGTTATATTTGTCGTATTTATATTGATATATGTAACTGGTACGCCGGATAATTTGCATAATTTTGTATAAATGGTTTAAGTCATTCATGTAAAGTCTAAGCACATGGTAAATATCACTTACACTTGACATCACTCCATGTTCACAACGAGGTCAGTAGGTCAATATTTTATTGATTTGAATACGGACATGTAAATATCCATTTACGACTATGATTTTTGATATCGTAAGGGTTATTAAATTATTTCTAATTTACCGTGTTGAGTAAATGCTGGCAACTAGGTGCCACTAGAGATTCAATAAAACAGTAATACAGCAATCACAACATAAATCGGTTTTCCTAACATGTTATGGCGGTGAATTAGCCGCCACCCTCCCCCCCAAAAAACACAAAAAACAAAGCTAAATTGGTTCCCAATGCGACGCTTGCGATACCAGAAGAGGCGAAGTAGAACTTGTCGCAATATACATTTGTACCTTAAATATGTAAATACCCCTGATATCTCGTTACCAGCGAGAGATCACGAGACTTGTTTTACCACTCAAATATCATTTCACTCTCTCCCTTGATTGCGTCTATTGTCAGGGAACAGTGGACAGCTGCTCATAATCCACACTACAATGTCATTGCACTCAAACTAGCCTTATATTACGATGTCAAAATGTATAAGCCTTTCTGGAATCAATCATAACATCGTAAAATTCGAAAAAAAACAAACAATATAAACCACCCCAACCAATGCCCCCTCTCCCGGAAGTGATTATTTGATCATTTTTAATTAAACGCTCCTTTCTATAGAAAAACCTGTAATCATACTCCCATACCCGAAAAATAGTGTGACAATTTATTTTTTATGTACATGTCTATTGTATTTTACCGTTTAAAGTTATTTTTAACTATTCGTATATTATTTAGCCCGTCTTCATTCATCCAGATTCATCGTTTGGATGAATGATCAAAAGGTCACCTGAGAGGGCATGATTCACTCTCCTTTATTCACTTTCCATAAATTGATAAGGTACAACAAATTCGACGAATTAGATTTAGGCGACATTATGTTAATTATATCCGTATTTAAGTATTTACTGCGAGCACATGGCTGATACGTGTCAACAGTAAATATTAGTTCACCCACTTGTAATGTTACTAGAGTCGCTTCGACGACCGAATGTATAAAAACGACCACTGACAACGCAGTCGACCTGGGGGCTAAAATAACACATGTTCAAATTTCTACACGTTCGTAGAACTTTGGTAATGCCATCACGTCAGGGGCCCTTTAGATGGAGGTTCGCAAATCACGTGATCAGTTATATATTTTCGTCGTACTTTTATGTTTTGTTTCCCAACGATTTTTTTTTTATATCTTTTTTTTACCTGTCTATGACATTAATCATTCATCTTATAGAAGTGAGCACCAGTACGTGATCCTATTGGAATGGAAGAACCCGTGATATTTATATTAAATGTACATTCCCGCGTAGTTGAATATCGATGGCAATGGCCTTCATTTGAACATGATCCTATAGAGATTTTACTAAAACGCAGACATATTAGTCCATAATGACGTGCAACAGCTTGTCTAGTTTGACACACGATCTCACAGTCTATATTGAATTTCATAAATGTATGCAACCTTGTTTGGATGGATATTACTAAGTCGGTAATTCCGTCTACGGTAGGAAAAAAAATGAATCAAATTTATTCAGTGGTTTCTCCAATTATTACATACATATGTATGTATAAAACGGCGATTGATAAACACCAGTCAGCTGTTGCCTTATATCAACCGGGTGTGACAGGATTAAATACTCGTTAATATTTCTTTTTCATTTGTATAACACTATATTGCACGAATATTCATCGAATCTTTTTTGATTTACTATGTGATACACTGGAATATAGATGATTCGTGTTCCGAAGCTTCCTCCTTAGTTTAGGATTCAGATAGTTTTAAATGATTCATCTATCAGAGGTTTCTTCAAATGCGGAACAAAATGGTACTCGTACACAGGGGAATTTATTAATCTCGATATTTGACACTGTCGCGAAATTTAACATGGTTGGGAAAAGGTACAGTTTCCGTGTCAGTCTCGCACTATCCCCCGGATGTCAGCAAATTAATATCCCGACCATATGACAAATATGACTTACCGTGTTAAATAAATGGCGCCAGCGTCTAACTGCATATTGTAGAGGAGCAATAAAACAGTGATCAATGCAAAACAAACACAAAATACGTAAAACCGTTGAATTGTTAACATAATATACCTTGGAAATGGAAATGTCGTCTTAGCATTGTCGGGCTGCATCTACTTCACTGGTCGTGGTCTGAGTTGAAACGTGCGCCGTATGCAAATATGCTGTGAAATGCAAATATGTATTTCAAATAGGGATTATTGGGCCAACAACTGCTCTGGTAGTATCTGTATACAAAGGCCGTGACACGAGTTGGAGTCGGTCAGTCAGTGCCCTGTAAATGCCACAAGCAATAAATACACTACAACGAGTTTCAATGTTTCAAAGAGTTAATGAAATGGCTACAGCGTTGGTTAAATTAGGAGTAATTAACCGTCACTTGTATATACTCTTGATTGGTGTTCCCAGCCTATTCTTATTCGACTTTACACACGGAATATTTCACCAGAAATAGTGATTGTATATTTGCTGAACTTCGGAGTTGCCAGTATTAAAGCGGGAGTGTCGTCACCTGCGCACGCGCGGAAATTGAGACTCAAGCGACGATATCAAACAACACGCGCTAAAAGCGCAAAGGCTCATGGGTAGACGCGTGTTTGTAAACAACGACACGCTATGGCCAACTGACGCATGCGCAGGGGTCGACTCCCCCGCTTTAATCCAAAGATAATGATGAAACGTCTACTATAAATACTTCCAAAGATACAGTTATAGGTGAATGCGGACGTTTACAAAGGTGCATACAATTTTGGCTCAAGGTTTTAGAACTGCTAGCTACGTAATACTGACTCACTCGGTAGACACAATTACCCGGAGAAAATTAGTCAATCATGTCCAAAAATGATTAAGGAGGCATTAAAATAAACCCAACGTGGCCACAAGTCGATTATATTTAATCAAGTACTAGTAACCAATGATGTGTTTAAATGCGTTTGAGAAACGGTTGGAGATATGTTTCAATGTTGCTTTTTTACCAGTTTTTGTATCTAATTTGAACAAAATCAGTCAAAGCATGTTTATAAAAACACACACACAAATTAAACTAACGTAGTCGCCAGTCGGTCGTTTTGGGTCAATTCACAAAACTGACTGACGTGCACCAGTAACCCATGTGTGTGAAGTTCATACAAAGCTTCTATATGCCAAGGAAACGGTTGGGACAAGGTAACATTTTGTGAATTTACTTTCATACTGCCGCCAGTCGATTCAATTTTATCAATAAATGTGCAATCCATTTATGTCTTTGTACTAAATCTAAACATAATTTGTGAAAGGGTATCAGAGAAACGGATATTAAACGACATTGTCAATTAGCTAGTTAGTTTTATAGGCGCGAGATATCGCATAAGCACTGAGGCGATATCCATAACGACCGATACGTATGAGATATTGTACGTAGAGACAAGATGACCAGTCAGCCATTTTATACAAGATGTATGTGTTAAATTTGAACTCTATCGGGCCAGGTATCGGAGACGTTCCGGAAAAAAATGTCCGATAGTCGGCAATTTTGAATCCAATCACAAAAGTAAAATATAAGGGAAACCAATGTGCCATTATGTTTAATATATATGCAAAGTTTAAAGCAAATCCAATCACACACGAATGATATCTGGTTCCGGATTAGTGAACGTGTGCGTTTTTGATAAATATTAGACTTTAAATTGCTGCCATTCGGCCATCTTGAAACGGAACAGGGAACAAATGCATACGAATATGTCTGATATAATGTTTGATGTATGTGCGAAGTTTGAACTTGATCGGTCAAAACGTGTGTGACGCACGCGCGGAGTTCAATCCATGAGTTTTCGGACTACGTTCGAACGGGGACTAGCAAAATGGCCGCAAGCCATTTTGAATCAAATCAGTAACCCACCATGAGTGATGCCAATACCAAGTTTGAATGAAAAGGTTTATGACAAGTTCAAATCTTGATTTTTAGTGCTTTGAGGATAAAACTGGCCATTAGCTAGTCAAAGCCCAAACTAACGAAGAGCAATGAATCGACTTGTAACCGACGGATGATGGACGAAATAAAAAAGCGAGTTCCCATTTCCGAGTCGGGAACTAATAACCAATTATTATGTTGCGGATATAATTTATGTTGTGCTGGGATATATCGATGTGTCATTTCGGCCAATAAACAACATCAGGCACCAAGTAAATGTGAACTAGAGAACACCACAGTTAACATTTGGCAGTCAACTATATGACGATCGTTATTTGTGGATATGTTATGTAATAACATATATAACTTAGTATGTTATCTAACTAGTATCTTTTTTATAATGGGTCCTCTTTTTGTTCCTTGAAAGTCTAATTAATTTTTGCAACGTCTCGGTGACATTCCTCGTTACAGAGATGCAAAATTTGGCTTGTAAAGAAAATAGCCATTTTGGGTTATGAGAATCGTGGCTCAGCGAGTATTATTCTATGATCCTGGTTATCTGTGCGGACCAGCACATTATGTCCGACAAGGCCTGCACTGTTAACATGCGACGAACTGCCTCGAGTTCTCAGTATCCACGTTGAGCTTTAGATGTTTTCTGTATCCGACTATTTACCAATGGTATCACGCCCTTCCAGACCAACAATATATCCACTATGATAACCTCTAGTGGATGCATTAGTATACATAATATTATGTAGTACAATGTTTCACATCAACTAGCGATGTGTCATTAAAGGGCGCTAGTCGTCGCGCTGCGCATGTGTGACATTTGTGTTGATAAACATTGATTTTTAAACAATCCAATGTGCTCTTCAATTGGAAATCATGAGGTGTGGAAAGTATGAGTTTTGACCTAGGCGTGACTCCTTTGATACCTTCCAATCACCTAAAAATGCCTAATTAAAGCTTGGGAACGTCTCAGTTTGTACTCGTTAATCCACAGTCAACAGTCTCCATCTTGTTCATATGAGACCAATATATCTCGCGCATGTGACTATTTCAACCACAGAATTCTAACAAGCACGTTTTGCTAAACAAGCAAACAAAAGTCTCATAATCGAGCCTACATCAGCATGCATAGAGATAATCTGGCTAATAACTGCTTCCAGTGCCTTCGCGTTGCATGTACACTCCACCACCCCCAAATATGCTTTTAATAAGCTCACGCAATACACATTCCAGCCTCGTTACTCTGTCAGCGGAAACATAAATCATCCCCTCCTGCATATCTGATTGATGACCTAACCAAGTCACTGTTAAACTAGGCAACCATTTACAGTTATATGTTGCTAACAAAAATCTATACTGTAAATGGGGTAATTATTCACTGGGTTTTAATTTAGTTTATTTCGCTGACTGGAAAATGCGCTAAATTAAAACCCAGTGAATATGTAAAATTTAGCATAGAACACATTATCTAAATGACGAGACCATGAATTTAAAACCCACTGAATATGCCTGAAATGGTAAATCAGTAAAATTTAAACCCAGTGAAAATTAATCATTTTACAGTATTTAACCAGATCCGAACGCACCTGCTTACTCGCAATACCGGCCTTCACGAGGTCCGGGCGCCACCTACGTCATCACCCAGAAACATGGAGACATGACAACTTTAATGTCTTGGGAGCTCCACCACGCGACCATAATCTTGCCAACAGATACGGCGCTGTGGAAATACCAAACGCCAACACGGAAAATACAAAATATTTACTCACCTCACTAAAATTTCAAGAAAGGGTAGCAATGATGATCCTGATAAATCTGAATATGGTGGTAAGCAGATTTCAAGTCAAAGGTGAATAAATAATCGTTATAAACAAATACTAGCCTGGGTAACTTCGTTGCAATTAAAATATTCTCACAACAGAATTTATACTTGAACAAATGCAAATTGATGTGTTTGCAGTCCAAAACCAGTCTGCGCTTACTGTCTCGATTCCTTACTAAGAAATTTGTTAATTTCATCCACTAACTGCTGATTTATTCTTGAGCAAACTTGCTGACGGCGGAGTCGTAATAAAAAGTAACTTGCACACATTACCATTTATTTCTAAACCATATGAATTAGCACCTGTATACACCAAAAATGTTATTGCACCCCGTTAAGCCTACCAACTAGTGAAACCAAATTATCTGCTACATATTCTATTGTATCGCTACTAACAAACGAAACGAAATTCGAACTCAGCCCACTAAAACCCCCGACACGAAAAGCCGCAAAAAACACTTACCTTACTTTCGTGTTCTGCTGTAATCCCCTGCCGACCACGATGTGCAGTCATTCCTCCAAAAGCCCAATTTACAGCATGCGAAACACGATCCCAGCTTCAGCGCGGGGGATGAGAGGCCTGTCCGTCTTGGTTTGGTTGCGCATGCGTTGCATGATTGCACCAACTTTTGCTTACGGCTGGCACTCGAAACCGATTTCTAAATTCGTTTTTCATTATCGGAGTCTTCCGCCAAATCGTGCGCCTTGTACTCATCAACAAATTTCCACCCCAATTCCTCGCGATCAGCCAGACAGACACTTCTGTCATTGAGCAAGTAGAGACATAAATTCAGCAATCCGTTTCGTAGCAGCGGCCAGATGGACGTTATCTTAGGAAATCAAGCTCCTTCCCTGCTTCAGTCAAATCGTAAACTACTTTATCATTGAATTTGAATTGTTCCCCGCATGATTTCTTTTGAAACGTAGGAAATTAAGAACTTTTCACCCCCTTCCAAGACGCCCGTTGCTCCTGAGTAAAGACTTGTCATCCAAACGGGTAGGCATCATTGCCTCCACATCTTTTAAAAGCTGAGCACTGCTTTCGCCAATTGATTTTGCAACCTGGTCCTAGATTAGCGCGGCAATGTTCACGGTCTGTTGGAACGCCATGATGTTGAAATGGTAATAAAAATATGATGTGGATATAAAAATATAAACTGCGGCTAGTCCAGCATAGAATGATTGTCCATTGCAGACTTCTGCTTTTTATACGTCCAAATCACGTGATTAACACAAGTGAAAACTATAGTTTCCCGTGATACTGGCGAACCGCGGGACACTTTATTTTATTCACGGGTCAGTCTGCGCATGTGAGTTCCTAAGGTAGTGTATAGTCAGTGATGACACATAATTCTGTACCGTTCACGTACATTCTTCTACCCAGAGAATGGCATTATAAACCTTAGGAAAATTCGCAACATAAAGGCGCAAGCACAGTCCCATCGTGGGACTGCGGCGCAAGAAACGGAAATTGACAGCTAAGTACCAAGTCATTTAGGGTCACGTGTGGTAACCTTGGGAGATATTTTCCCAGCGGTTAAGCATTCTCCGCTTAATATAATTTGAAAAAAAGATATAGTCAATTTAATGCCAATCAATATAATTAATATTTTACAAATATCACCGTACACAATTCCAAGAGCTTCGAGAAAACCGAGCATACTAGTATGTCGCTCACTGCCGAAGAGCGCCACCAGCGGTTACTGTGTTTGTGCATATTTACGTCACTCATAAATTTGCATATCAACGCATTCTGTATTTTGACTATATTAATGGGACAAGAAATTCCCCCACTAATCGTCCAAATTGTACATTTTAAGTTGGATTCACCAGTCGCGTTTACAAAATACAAAATATGCTAGTAAATGGGTTATTTCACTAATGTAATTAAGATGTTTGTTGAAATCGAAGGCAGATGCACGATTAGAAACCGTACGTAAATATTTGGAAAGAGAAATACAATAACTGAAGTCAGATACCATTCCAGCATACTTACCTGGCGTAGGGGTTAACCGTGATCAAGGAGGCGGTTCCCTCAGGGAGAGGCCCTCCCATTGCACTATCCCCTGATAATTAAAGTGAACAATAGAATAAACTGAGTACGCACAAATATTCTTACAATATACCGCATTTGTCATGACGCACGACGTGGTCAATGGTAGTTCCACATTTACGCGATCGGAATCTCGTGCTGCAAAAACCGCGGTAGTCTTTTTTTTTTTTTTATTTATAAAAGTTATACGATGGCTGCGCCGTTTAGTAAATTTCGGTAAATTGGTCGCATACATTTTATCACGACTGTGATTTTAAAATAGATTTTCTTTTTAAACGCGAGAGAATTATCCAGTAATCAGAGGCTGGGATTCAGACGAACAATTTCATTTTCCAGGTAGTTTATATATTGCCCTCAACGGTATTTAAAGTTGTTTAAACGCAGGATGGCTTCAAAAATCCATCCACACACACACACGCATCTACTTCATTTTTAACACCAGCAAATTGATAATTCGGGATTCTGTAGTAAAATCCATATTTGGATACTTTCATTCAGAATTAGAACAATCTTATGTTATATGAATTTGCATTTTACTGAAACATATGTTCTGACTTGTTGACCTAAATCCTTATTTTAATGCTTGTAAGATATGCTAGATATTAAACTTGAGGGCGCCATGCTATATTACTGGTAGTAATTGTGACATTAAAAAAATCACTGTTGTAATATTCATAATCTCATATATCCAATATTTGGGGTTATGGTTTGATTTAAAAGCCTAGTACATGATGTCAGTATAGAACAGCTTTACATCAAAGGAAATGATCTATATTATTTAACGTTCCACGTTGCTACGACGCGCACCACTGTACATGCATTTCTATGGGCTCTGTGCTTGCTGCTGTGGAACGCCGGTCAACAAACTCAAACACAAACTCAACTTTGAAGTAATCCCGAACAACCAAATTTATATATGTTACACACGTAGGGCTAATCTTGTTACACTGTTCAGAGGAGTCTCAACAGTTATCCCAAAGTACAGTTTTCTGCGAGTTTTGGGCCTTTGTTTTCACCGCCGCAGGTTACCAGGCGGTGAAAATGCCCGGATGTCCGCCCCGAGGATAAGTAGAATTTTTACCTTTTTCTTAATACTCTTGAAATCTCACATCTCCATGTTAAATAAAACACATCTTGCATGTCTTTTAGACGAAGAACAAATGCCCGCTGAATGCATCCATGAATAGAAAAAACGGCAGCAGCAGACTTGTATTGAAAATTTGATTAAAATATTGCTTCTGAGTGATAACAGCCCCCCCCCCCCCCCCGGGTCTCTGAAGCTTTTTTAGCTATCACACAAGTTAAGGCTATGCTTTCACTCCAAAACTACATGTAAAATGCTTTGGAATAAATCTAGCTAACTACATTCAATTAGGGGTTGACATTTGAAACTCTAGGGGTGAAGGCAGAATCGATAAGGGCATTTGTAAATTTGTGGTTTCTAGTCAGAAAGCGGAAATATTACTGGTATACCAGCAAAAAATGTTGTTTAATAGTTGCTATCATGTTGGTTGACTGACTTACTTCTGCAAAAATCTTTTATTCAAAATAAAAAGACTGCAGAAATAATGAAACACTGCAGCATATTGATTGCTAATTTAAAGAACTTACACACAACCATTTAAATCTAATAAAACTTTATTGTACTGGGATACATACAAAAGTGATGATTACACAGAAGTAAAACAAAATGGGTGAGATTCAAGTTTAAACATTCAGACAGCACTATTTCTCAAAGTAAGCAGGTATTGAACATTTAATGGTGTTTATTAATATAGTTGTAGAGATCATACTAGATGAACATTTCAATGTTTGATTCAATATTTATTAGAAGCACATCAGATAAATGCTTGTTTATCACATGCCATAGTTTCTAGGAAACATTTTGCTCGATATGACAAAATTCAATGATTTAAAAAGCAAAGCAATTAGAACTTCAACTAACATTTATACAATGTGTTAATTGAAAAGTTATGAAGAGAATGAAGATCCTTTTTTTCCCTTGTTAATAATGAAGATACAATAGTTGTAATCTTAGTCTTCAATGTATTCAAATGGCTCTGGTGGTTCAGGTTCATCTTCCTCTTCAATCTTTGGTCCTCCAGCTGTAGGGGAAGGAAAAAATAAACAATACATGAAATCATACTGTATCACTAAGTAATTCAACATAGTCTATATGACTGTGACATACTGTGTACTGTGTAAATTCATGAGACAACTTTGAGAAATTAGTTGTCTGCATGGAAATAGTTGTGAAATAAAGCTTTTGTGCTTACTTTTTCACCTTTCACAAAATAAACCAGTACTACCGGTATATAATGAAACTACTGTAACTTGGCACTATATAAAACTGTATATGATTTCTGTATATATTTTTATGGACAAGTTTTCATATTTGGTAGCCTGATGACAACCATAATTTGACCCATAAAATTTTGCTACTAGAAATGAGGGAAATCAAGACATCACTATGATGCCTTGTTTTAATGATCCAGTACAGTATACAATGCTATAAATATTAAACATTTGTTTCTCTACAAATGTTGGCAAGGGCTTGTATATATTTCCCCTTCATAGTTTGAATTAAGCTTAGCTGAAGATTGTTGAATATTACTTGTATACACTTTTGGAAATGGTGACCATATGCCAAACAGGAATCCATAGTTAAACAAACGCGGTGGAAACATTCAATGCCTTTATGATTGTGCACATATTAAATGTGCAATTTGGAACTTTCCATACATCTAATGTTGTGATGCATTTGTGTGTTTGTTTAAGCTTAATCACCAAGAATTATGCCACATTGCTATTCTATTAGTCCTTATGAAATTCCAAAGGCTAAATTTACTTTCATACATGTTGAAAACTTCACATACCTGGTACAGGTTGAATAAGATCTTCTGGTTCATCTGATTTATTATCTTTCATCATAATAATTCCACCAATATGAACCTGTATTACAAAGAAAACAATAAATAAGTATAACCATCTACAAATATGTTAACATTATATAGATGGATTATGGCTGTAATAAAGCATTTTAATAATTGTCATGATCTCCAAGTAATAAGATTGAACATTTGACGTCACTGGTTGACAATTTCCAGTCATAGTAAATGTGAATAATAATAAGTTATTAACAGTTGGTTTTTAATTACCAAAACCTTAATTTTGCAAAACATACATCAAATATTTCTTCCATACCCTTCTTGGAAAATAGTTATATTAATGGCTCAAACAAATAAAATATTTAATAATAAAGAAAATAAACTGTTGTTGAAGTAACAGTATTGTGTACGCAAATGAAATGGCACACTAGCCAAATTTTTTAAAAAGTTTCCATGCTTAAACATAAATATGGAATAGGGCAAAAACAAATTCATTTATTTATTTAAGTTGCTCAGCACAAAAAATTAAAAAAATTACCACACTTGTTTTGTAACTCGTAGGTATTGCATACCTGCTTCAGTGGTACATATCTAGCTTTCTCAGGCATAGTAATGACTTTCAACTGAGCTGTCATAACTCTTGCTGGGTTAGACAACATCTCAAATGTGGGCTCTGGTTCCTTCTTTTCTTTCTCTTTCTCTTTTTCCTTCTCTTCCTTCTTTTCCTCTTTTTCTTTGTTGGCATCCTTTTCTTTTTTCTCCACTTTCTTTTCTTTGTCTTCATCTTTCTTTTCATCATCCTGTTTAGTACAATAAAGCCAAATTATTCCAGTTTTTAATCAATGCAACATTCACAGCAGTTCCCCACCATCACAACTTTTCAGTTATATATATATATATATATATATATATACACATTCTTGAATTCCATGCACTGGCATCATACAGATACACCCTTGGACATTAAGCATGGTTCCCCCAAAGTCATTAAATTAATAAGTCAATGAACGTAAGCCAGTGTCTATGGTCTTTCAAATGGCACACTCACTGAGTAATGGTCACTGACATGCATCCAAATCAAACTATTCTCATAATCTGCGATTCCCTGCTAATTTTTTCCAAATGTCCTTAATCTTTTCACATAAAGGGCTTAAGTGTTTTCAGTTACAATTATTGTTCTACATCCAAAACACGACAAATAATTAGAAATATCAAATGATTCAACAGAATCCATGCATAACATCAAATAGAAAAGAGAAAATGACACCCAAGCAATTTAACAGACAAATCAAGTAGTAGTGAAATGATAATTCATGAACTGACACAGATAGTACTTAGAGATGCGTTTTCAGTTTCTGTTTCCTTTCTGCTAAGATTCAAGGTTACTGAGTGACAAAACATGTCACATTAGTCAAGGCTGGCAATTGAGCTGATATATCTGACTGTACACTACGTTGAGATGACAATTCTGGAATGGAGATAGTTATCATCCTTGAAAGCAGGAATTGAATTTGCAGATAAATGCAACATGTCACTTCCTTTCTGATAAGACATGGTTTTAATAGAAAACACCTCGCTAGTTGATGCCAAATTTGCCCCACTTTTTCTCAGATTATGGAATGATTTTTTCATGGCACCAAATGCAAATAAACCCATAAGGTGATGGAAATAATTTAGAAAGACAAGTTGAGAGCTATGCATTGGCATTGGTAAACCATCACCTGCTGAAAACCTCTACAAACAGAATGAATGAATGTCAGCAGATGCTGTATTCAGGTAGATACTGTTTATGCAATCATAAATGTAACTAAGATAGCAACATCAAGACTCGTGTCATATATTACAATCCAGTTGTTATATCCATGTTTGCCGACTGTAAAGCCAAAGTGACTACCTCATGTAGTATTTAAACAACTGATTTAATTTTACTCAGTATCTGCATAATACTTATCTTTTATGTATCGTATCGTTTATGTATCTTTAATACATAAACAAAACAGGCAGCATATCACTACACTTTATCATATTATATATATATATATATATATATCACGACTGTGGTGTCACTACATAACATTAGAGAAACCTAATACTACTACTTAATTTATTCACTTAATATATACCCCAGTTGTAGTCTGGACTTTTAAATCATAAGTAATTGAACACTAGATGGCGCTATGTCAATTCTACAACGCTATTATTACAGATTATATTTTCAAACACATGGTTATAGATAATTGTCTGGAAAACAACTCACCACTTCCATCTTTTCCGCTTCTTCCTTCTTCTCTTTCTTCTTCTGTTTAGCAGTGATTGAAAGCACGGCTGTAGTGACTTTTTCCTTTTCTTTTTCCTTAGGAGTTTCCAGAGGTGGTGGATAGGCATACTGAGATGGCTTGGCATTAGACTTGAACTGTATAATTGGCATCTACAAAATCAATGTCAAAGAAATATCAATGAAGTAATTGGTCATCAAGATCAATATGCAAGGGATGATTTTATTAATACTAGTAAGGCCAACTTATGCTTACAAATCAAAAGATGTATAATGTCATTTTCTTTATTTTTACGTTTGTAACATTTCATGTAACAAAGATGAAAAAAACAAGCCATGCATGGCACAGCCCCCGTTAGTTATCAAATTTAAGATATATAGTTATGTTTATAGTAATATAGCTGGAATATAACCATGTCAGGAATATGATTTTTTTAACATTAAAATGATTGACATTTGTATCTGATCGTCAAACAAGTACTTGTCCATATTGAGAGATATTGCTCTGGAACAGCATTCAAAATCAGCCATTTCGAATACATGTATATATATATATATAACATGATGTATAACAAATATATAAAATTTGAATATAATCAGTCAAAGCATTTAAGAGATATGGCTCTAGAAGCCCAATCATTAAAACAAAATGGCTGCCAGTCAGCAATTTTGAATCTGATCTGAAAAATAAAATGACATGCACCAGGAACCTGTAATGTCTAATGTATGTTATAAGTTTGAACAAAATCCATCCATAAATGCAAGAAATGCTTGATATTCGAGGATTTTTTTAGCACAAAAATAGCACACTTTGAAAAAGATCATAAAACCAATATATCCATATATCTGTGACATGATGTATAATGAATATTAAAGATTTGAACATAATCAGACAAAACAAGTCAGACATATGGGTCTGGAAACCCATTCATTAAAACAAAATGGCCGCCAGACAGTCCATTTTGAATCTGATCTGAAAAATAAAATGACGTGCATCAGGAACCCGCAATGTCTAATGTATGTACCAAGTTTGAACGAAATCCATCCATAAATGCCAGAAATGCTTGATATTTGATGATTTTTTAGTACAAAAATGACAACCATTCGGCCATTTTGAATATGGAGGTCACCAACTCAAATCAGAGGAAATACACATACAAAAAGTAGTGAAACTACAAGGTAGTATGTTCTGTCCGTTTTAGGGCATTTTACCATGGTTTTTCATGAAAAAAATAAATCAAAATATCTCAAAAATTTGACAGAGTGAAAAGAATATACAGTGTCTTACAATGTACAATTAAAAAATTGACTATTTTTATTGTTTTTTGGGTCTATGGATATCTGGATATCAAAGCTAAATTTGTATGCATATTATTCGACAGTGAATTAAAAAAAGTTGACCAATACTGAAATGATTAATTATAGGCAGACTTTGACACACATGATATTGTCACTGCTATATATGCTAAAATATGGACACAAATCAAAATAATATGAGTAGCATTCTAACTCGAGGTAGGCCAAAGGTAGATGTACATGTTTATGAACACGTAACCAATAAAATGTATCAGCTATGTTCACTCATGTCTATCAAATATCTCTTATTTAATACATGTATATGGGAGAGGGAGGTTTCAGATGCCACTGAAAAATGAGAAAATTGGTCTAACATTAACCCAGTTAATTTAAGTTTCCAAGAATACTGTGGAACAACATATTAATTACTTTTGGAAACAGTTCAAAATTCAATATTGAGAAAGTTAATATTATCTATAATTAAATTGATCAGATTAACTTCAAAGTTCAATAGTAAATGTGCCGGTATAAAGCCTTAGGCTACAACAGGGGTGTAAAGTTATAACGTACATCTCTCCCAAGGTGCGGACACTCTTTATACCACCCACATTTTCAATCCATTTATACTCATTTCTATTTATTATATTATATCTTGGGATCAAATTAAACTCACTGCTGAAATTCAGACTATGATGCAAATGCATATATATAAATGTACCAAAATGAGCCAAGTACGGGTGAAAAGTACGGGTTGTACTTTTCAGAAAATAGCGAGTACGGGCGATATTTGTAGTGAGTACGGGTGATATTTGTAGCAAGTACGGGTGACATTTGTAGCGAGTACGGGTGATATTTGTAGCGAGTGCGGGTGACATTTGTAGCGAGTACGGGTGATATTTGTAGTGAGTGCGGGTGGTAGTTTAGCAGTACATGGAGGTAATTTAGCGAGAGCGAGTGATAAAATGTAGCCAATATGGAGGGTGGTGGTAAAATATAGCGAGTACGGGATGAGGGTAATGCGGGGTAAAATGTACGGGATTTATACAACAATTACGGGTGCAGCAAAACACTCAATTGAGAAAGAAAATAGCAGTGGTACGAACTGAAACTAGTTCAATCTAACGAACCGAAACTAGTTCCATCTTACAAAAACTAAATGGGAACGTGAAGCAGCCATGTTTAATTAATTATATATTCACGCAATTTGACCCCTATGACGTAGCAAAACGGA